TAACAATCACTGGTCATTAATATCTCTCAGTACCAAAGGACTCAATTCACCAATATAAAGACACAGGAGAAAAGAATTGGCACAAGACAGAATTCATCCTTCTGCTGCATAAAAGAAACATACTTCAAATCAAAGACAGACATATTACATCAGAGTAAAGGGTTGGAAAAAGATTTTCCAATCAAATGGACCTAAGAAGCAAGCTGGTATAGCTATCCTAATATTTAACAAAATAAGCTTCAAACCAAAATTAATTAAAAGAGATGGAGAAGAATATTTCATATTAATCAAAGAGCAAATCTACCAAGATGATGTCTCAATTCAGAACATCTATGTCTCAAATACCAGGGCACCTACATTTGTAGAAGTAACATTGCTGAAGCTTAAATCACATATCAAACTCCACACATTAATAGTGGGAGACTTCACCACTCTACTCTCACTAATGGACAGGTTATCCAGATGGAAACTAAACAAGAAATATAAGAACTAAAAGATATTATGGCTCAAATTGAACTAACCTATCTACAGAAAGTTTTATCCTAACACAAAAGAATATACCTTCATCTCAGTACCTCATGAAACCTTCTCCAAAACTGACCACATAACTTGGACACAAAGCAAGTCTTAACACATACAAAAAAAATTGAATAACCCTCTGTTATCTTTTAAAAAATTAATTTATTTTATATCCTGACCAAAGTTTCCTCTCCTCTTCTCTCACTCTGTAGTTTGGGCTGTTGTTGAACTCCAACTTTAATCCACGATGACCTGGATTAAAGATCCACGCAAAGACTCAGCAAGAAAGAGAATTACAGACCAATTTCCCTCATGAACATGGTGCAAAAATACTCAATACTGGAAAACCAAAATCAAGAACACATTAAAAATATCATCCACCATGATCAAGTAGGCTTCATCCTAGAGATGTAGGAATGGTTCAATATAAGAAAATCTAACAATGTAATCTACCATATAAACAAACTGAAAGAAAAAACCCCCACATGATCATCTCATTAGATGCCAAAAGAACCTTTGATAAAATCCAATACCCCTTTATGATATAAGTCCTGGAGAGATCAGGGATATAAGGAACATACCTAAATATAATAAAAGTAATATACAGCAGCTTAACAACCAACATCAAATTAAATGGAGAGAAACTCAAAGCAATTTCACTAAAATCAGGAACAAGATAAGTCTGTCCACTCTCCCCATATCTAGTCACTATAATACCCAAAGTTCTAGCTAGAGCAATAAGACAACAAAAGGAGATCAAGGTAATACAAATTGGAAAAGAAGAAGTCAAAGTATCACTATTTTCAGATGACATGATAGTATACATAAGTGACCCCCAAAATTCTATCAGGGAACTCCTGCATCTAATACACCTTTAGTGAAGTAGCTGTATAAAAATTTTCTAAAAAAAATTAGTAACTCTCTTATATACAAGTGATACAAGGGCTGAGAAAGAAATCAAGGAAACAAACACCCTTCACAATAGCCACAAACAATATAAACTATCCTGGGGGTAATTCTAACAAAGCAAGTGAAAGATCTGTATGACAAGAACTTCAAGCCTTTGAAGAAAGAAATTAGAGAAAATATCAGAAGATGGAAAGATCCCCTATGCTCATGGATTGGTAGATTCACATAGTAAAAATGTCCATCTTACCAAAAGCAATCTACAGATTCATAATATCCCCATCAAAATCCAACACAATTCTTTATAGACATTGAAAAAACAATACTCAACTTCATATGAAAAAACAAAAACAAAAAAGCCAGAAGAGCTAAAACAATCCTGTACAATAAAAGAACCATCCTTCATTTCAAGCTCTACTACAGATTATACTAATAGAAACAGCATGGTATTGGCATAAAAACATACACATTAATGAATGGAAATGAATTGAAAACCCAGACATAAATCCATATACCTATGGGCAACTGATTATTGACAAAGAAGCCAAAACTATACAACAGAGAAAAGAAAGCATATTCAACAAATGGTGCTGGCATAATTGAGTGCTGGCATGTAGAAGAATGTAAATAAATCCATATCTATCACCCTAGACAAAACTTAAGTCCAAATGAATCAAAAAACTCAATATAAATCCAGTTACACTGAACCTGATAGAAGAGAAAGTGGGGAATAGCCTTGAACACATTGGCATGGTAGACAATTTCCTAAATAGAATACCAGTATAGCACAGACACTGAGATAGACAATTAATAATAGGACCTCATGAAACTGAAAAGCTTCTGTAAGCCAAAGAACACTATCAATAGGATAAAACGGTAGTTTACAGAATGGGAAAAGATGTTCACCAACCCCACTTTCAACAGAAGGCTTCTTTCTAAAATATATAAAGAACTAAAGAGGGGCTAGAGAGATGGCTCAGAGGTTAAGAACACTGACTGCTCTTCCAGAGGTCCTGAGTTCAATTCCCAGCAACCCACATGGTGGCTCACAACCATCTGTAATGAGATCTGGCGCCCTCTTCTGGGCCTGCAGGCATACATGGAGGCTGAACACTGTGTACATAATAAATAAATAAATATTTAAAAAAAAAGAACTAAAGAAACTACACATCGCTCACCTTCCTAGTACTGGATGGAGGGGGAGGACCTTGGACTTCCCACAGGGCAGGGAACTCTGACTGCTCTTTGGACTGGAGAGGGAGGGGAAGGGGGATAGGGGAGAGGGAGGAAAATGGGAGGAGGTGGAAATTTTTAATTAAATAATATAAAAATAAATAAAAAAATAAAAAAGAGAAAAAAGAGAGAAAAGAAACTACATATCAAAAAACCAAATAATCCAATTAAAATGTGTTATAGAACTAAACAGAGAATTCTCAACAGAAGATTCTCAAATGGCAGAGAAACACTTCAATGTTCAACATCTTCAGCCATCAGGGAAATACAAATCAAAACTATATTGAGATTCTATCTTATATCTGTCAAAATGGCAAAGATTGAAAACACAAATGACAGCTTACACTGGAGAGGATGTGAAGTAAGGGGAACACTCCTCCATTGCTAGTGGGAGTACAACGTTATACCGCCACTTTGGAAATCAATATGGCAGTTTCTCAAAATATTGGGAATCAATCTACCTTAAGACTCAGTTATACTAATCTTGGGCATGTACTCAAAGGATGCTCAGTCATACATAAGGACACTTGCTCAACTATTTTATAGCAGCTTTATTTCTAATAGCCAGAACATGGAAACAGCCACAATTCCCCTCAACCCAAGAATAGATAGATAAAATATGGTACATTTACACAGTGGAGTATTGCTCAGCTGTTAAGAGCAATGACATCAGAAAATTTGAAGGCAAATGGATAGAACTAGAAAAAAAAATCATCCTGAGTGAGGCAACCCAGATCCAGAAGGACAAGCGTGGTATGTACTCACTCACAAATGGATAGTGAAGGATAACCTCGTTCCAATCCACAGACACAGAGAGACGAGGTAGTAAGGAAGGCCCAAGGTGGGGGACACATCCATCTCTTTGGGAAGGGGAATAGCGGAGATCTCCTGGGTGGACTGAGGGTGTGGGGATGGGAACTTGAGGAATCTGTTTAGGGGTGGGTGGAGGGGGAGAGTAGTAAAAGAGATGACTGGAAAGAGGCAGGCACTTTTAAGAGTCAGGTAGAAAAGTCAAGTGAAACTCCCGTGAATCTACAAGGGTGATTCCAGCTAAGACTTTTAGCAATAGTGGATATGTAGGCTGAACTGGCAGTCTCCTGTGGTCAGACTTGAGACTCCAGTTGTCAGTAGAGAGCCTTTATTCAGTAATGGATGGGAACAGATGCAGAGACCTCCAATAAATGTTAGGCTGAGCTTGGGGAATCCTGCTGAAGAGAAGGTGGAGGGATTTTAGGTGCTAGCAAGGTCAAAAATACCACAAGAAAATCCACAGAAACAACAAATCCCAAGTGGCTTATAGAGTCTGAGCCAACAACCAGGTGCCTGCGCTGGATCGACCGAAACCCACTACATATATGTGACAGTTGTATAGCTTGATCTATTTGTGGGACTCCAACAATAGGAGCAGGGATTGTTCCTAATGTTTTGGTTGCCTCTTGGGAACTTATTCCTCATAATGGATTTCCTTGCCCAGCCTAAATCCAAGGGGATGTGCTTATGCTTAGTGCAACTTGATATGCCATCTTATGCCCAGGGGAGGCCTCTTGCTTTCTGAACAGAAACAGTGGAGAAAAGGACTGAAGAGGTGGTGAAGGGGAGGTGGGGGAAGGGAATGGGACTAGAGAAGGGAGGAGAGGCTGCGGTTAGATCTAAAATAAACAAATAATAGAACATGAAAAAAGAATGAGTCAGGTCTCATTTAGACTCATCATCACACCTAAGGATATTGGCTGATGCCTTAGTGTGCTTGGGTGCACATTAAGGTATACAGAAATATACCTTGAGCCGAAGGATCACAAATAGCAGAAATATACTTCTAATTCTGAGGCAGGAGGTTTGAGACAAAGGTTCCAGAAGTTTCCATGTATTATAGTACTGATTTCCATGTTTATGGATAGCTCTGCTTCACTGTGTCTGGGCAAAGGGTCTCCTGAGTTGTTTGATGAAGACACTAATCCCAATTAAGAGGACTCTGTCTTCATGGTCTCATTACCTTCTGATACACTGAGGGAAGGATATCAGCATGAATTTAGGGGACACAATCAGTCCACAGCAGGTAACAAGAAGGTGGCATTTCCCACATATTGTCTAATACCAACCTCTTTGTTGAGTCCCTTTCACATTGACCCTCCCACCTCAGTTTAGATAGCTGTGTACTTTCAATGTTTGTGATGGAGGAACTGGAAATACAGGGATTCAGGGTCTTGTACAGGTAGTAAGATGAGGAGCCAGAACACACGGATTGGCATATGGAATAGTTTCTGTCTTAGTCACTGTTCCATTGCTGTAAAAAGACACCATGACCAGGTCAACTCTTATAAAAGAAGCATTTAATTGGGGCTGCTTTACAGTTTCAGAGGTTAGTTCATTGTCATCACAGTGGGCAAACATGGTGCTGGAGAAACATCTGAGAGTCTATATCCTGATCCATAAGCAGAGAGATAGATAGACACTGGGCCTGACATGAGCTTTTGAATCCTCCGAATTCTATCAAAGAGTTCCACTTCTTGGTGACTAAACATTCAACTATATGAGCCTGTAGGGGCCATTCTTATTCAAATGACCACAGTTATCATTTCTGCCATCTAAGGCCCTGATGTGAGTCTGTGTGCATGTGAGTAGGTATATACATGTATGCATATGTGTGTATGTGTGTGTGTGTGTGTGTATATTGTGTTTGAGGGACTGTGATGTGAACATATGCATGTGTGTGCATCCATGCTTATGTATATGTGTGAAGTCAATTGTGTGTTTAGGGTGGGAGGGGAATGCCTAAATTCACTAAACAGTTTTCCTCAGTGTGTCCTTGACACCCCTCCTGAGTGACCTTTCCTTCCACTGTTTGCCTCAGATCCTATGTGCTGTGACCTGAGTTTATCCAGACCATGGAAACAAAAAAGCAGGAGGCAGGTGGAGTGCACCATGCATGTTTATGTGAGGATGGGGGCTTGACAGGAGGGAGAGGATAGCGGGAGTAGGACTTGGGCAGCATGTCACCTGCTTTGCCTATAGCCAAGGATGCCAGTCATTTTGTGTCTGAGAGGCTGGGTGGAGAGCAGGGGGTTGGGAGGATAGCCTGGAGCTTCTCTGCATAGAAGACATCCTCTTTGTGGGCTTCATGCTGAGGGAAAGCACTTTATTTCTTTAGTTGCAGGATGCTGCTGTCCTGGTCTATTTCACCTGCCAGAGAACCTTGGGGTCATATAGGGGCTTTGGTCTGAGAAACAGAGCAGGGCCCAGGAGCTAGAATAGGACCCAGAAGCTGGACAGTGACCATGCCCTCCCACCCCCATTATAGGTATATCCCCTACCCCATCCCAGCCACTCCAGAAATGCTGACGGGTTTCAGGATGTCTCTGCAAGAGCATCTTCCACACTTCCACCAGAGATGGTGGAGAGGGAGGGGTTAGGAGGCCCACCTTGATGAAAGTGACAAAGCCACTGTAGAGCAGTGTGAGCAGGAAGAGAGCCACGAAGGTGCACAGTGTGGGCCACAGGCCATTCTCCTCATCTATGTCCAGGTAGCTGTCGGTTTGCTCATCCCTGATGCACAAGTCGGGGAAGGTGTTGGCCATGCCTGGGGAAGAAATAGTGCACATGAGAAGGCCTCCATGCAGCAACAGGTCCACTCCTTACTAACCAGCTCTCCTGTTCACCGAAGCTGAGGCTACAGCTGTCCTTCCCAGCAGCAACATTTTGTTTGTATATCCTTCCTCACCAGGACTTACCACCTTCCCTCAAAGGTGCCTGCTAACTGTTTTGTCCCACAGGGCCCTTCCACCCTACCTTTCGCTATAGCCTGTTGGTTCCTAGAGTCTCACTCATAGATTGTTCTGTGTGAGATTAGGCAGATCTGAATCTAAACCTGATGTGAATGCAAGCCTCTGCCACCTGAATGGTGCAGGAGATGGGTTGCTACTTCAGAAGACCTAGAAATGGTGGCCAGAGGAGGCAGGCTGCCCAGCAGAGGCCTTCTCATGTGACGTGAAAGAGGCAGAGAAGGAGGAGTGGCGCTCAAAGAAAAAATAGTGTGCATGGTGCAAACATTAGGAAAGAGCATTATCCTGGGAGTCAGAAGGGGCCTCTGAGCCTTGGCGGGTGGAGGTGGAGATCTGAAAGCATCCTAGTCATGGTAACCTAACCCTAAGGGTAATAGGAGGGAACAGAAGATGTTAAGGAAGGTACTGTCATAACTAAACGTTTGTATGGAAATCCCAGCTGGAGACTGAAGAGTGGTCCAAGACCAGACAGAGTGACGGCTGGTGTGCAGATCTAGGAAAATGTGTTTCCATAGAGAGCACAACCCAACTCAAGGTGTGAAAGACCAAGGCAGGTGGGTCACAGGGCTGCCTGGGTTGTCCACTCCATAAGTACTAGGCAGAGTCACTGCGGTGTCTGTGGATGGGCTGGCCTGAAGTCATTTCACCAGATAACGGTGGTAAGTACTGAAATCGTGTGAGCATTATAGACCACTGAATCTTAGCATAAGAATCACTCAGCAGTCTCCTTTACCCATAGTTTCCAGTTTCAATTACCTATGGTTGGAGAACATGACATTGAGCAGTCACTTGTTTTGAATTACGGTTTGGAGCAGTGGGATGGGCTCTTGCTCTGCCTGGAATGGCAGCCCCCACTTTGTCTGCCCTTCAAGCTGCCTGCATGCCTGTCTGTTGTCAGTCAGGACCCACCTCAGCCACAGGCTGACTGCTGAAGCAACACGGAGCTTGACAACACCGATGGCTTCAGGCATCCACTGGAGGCCTTGGGACAGTTCCCACAGATAAGAGAAAGTAAAACGGTTGCTTGTGTTTGTTCATTTCATTTATTTGGTGATCATTTCTTACTGTAACTTACAGAAGTACTGCTCTACACTCTACTGAGAACATAGAAAAAGCAACTTTCTTTGCCACATGCAGTACGAGGCAACTGAATACAGAGGTAAGTGAGCCAACCAGACAGTGGACATGATGGTCATTCAGCATAGAAAGGTCTTAGGCCAGGGCAAGAACAGGAGAGCTCCTGGGAGGGCTGTCTGACTCTGCCAGGAGGCAGTGGAGTCCTAGAATCACGGGAAGAACTCATAGTGGCAGGTGGCTGGGTGAGAGGGTTCTCCAGTAGTAGAATCTCTCTGGGGCCTACTGTGGACAAAAAGTGCTCAGAGAAGACTTTCCAGAGGGAGAGGTTGAGTTCTGTCACACCCTCAAAGGTCTGGGATTTAATATTCTAAAGAAAGCTATGAATGTTGTTCTAATAATTCATACTTCCAAGGTCTAATTCTATGTACTGTTTTTGTCTTGGTTATCAATCACTTTGTATCTTATAATTGCTGATTACATGCTAGATATTGTATACACGGGAATTTCAGAGTCTAGGGGTGAAACAGAGGTGCACATCCCCTCCTCCATCAGGCAGAGAAGGCCTGCTCTTTGGAACTGGGAACTGAACTGGGTTTGCTGGCTCTAGGTGCTTTGGGATAGAGTCAGTCTGTTACATTAGCAGGCCTTGGAGCTGGTGCAAGACTGGCAATCTGCTACTCCCAAGCTCTGCTCCCAGGGTCTATTTGCTAGTGGTGTCCTCCTATGTGGGAGGTTGGGTGAGTGGTGATTAGCTCAGAATCTTGGACTTTTCTGTGTTCTTATTCCTCTTGCCAGTTAAGGTATTCATTAAAGTTTTGGTCGATTTTTTGATGTCCTCTTTCATATGGTCCGTAGTTCTGCCTGTCTGTGCCTAGTAGGACAGAATGAAGGAGCCCTCTCTCCTTACCTGGGAATGCAGTCTCCCTGAGCTTTTTTGGTTCCTTGGCTCACTAGTAATTTTAAATAAAATTGTGATGTTAAAAGTTTACTTGGTACATTTCTTTTGCCATGGCCTGAGTGCCTAATCAAATGTCCTTCCATATCTATGCAGACACACAATGTTTAAGAGATTGCCTTGGTAGCAGAGTGATGGAAGGGTGGGAGGGGCAGAACGGGATTCACAGAGGCATTGGTGGAGAGCTAAGAGGTGCTGGTGTCAGAGTAATAACACTGCAGTGCTCAGGAGCTGGGGTGACAGGACTGTTGTGTGGGACTTAGGCGGATGTAGCTGTCTCATGACGTGGGAAGCATGGCATAGGGACAGACCAAAGGGCAGGATGAGGGGAAGTGGGAGAGGACATAGAGAGGTATGCTTGGGGTGGCCTTTTCTAATGAGGAGGACCACAGAGCACGCCTGGGCTTTCCAAGCATGCTCTGTGAGAGTGTGCAGCAGGGTACTGATGCTGGTCTAACCCTAGAACTAAGGGTAACCTGTCAAGGTCTTCAGAGAGATCCTGAGGGAGGCAAGTGAGGGATCACCTTAGTGTGCTTGGGGTGGGGGGAAATGCCACAGGAGAAAAGAAGAGACTGATTTGGGGGCAGGCCCCTTTTAGCAGTCATGAGGCTTCTACACCAGGGGAATAGTTCTAGACTCCCTTACCTGGCAGGAGGTTGGCCCATGAGAGGCAGTGGGGTGTAGTTTCTTTCCTCAGTCAATACAGTGCAGCCAGACAATAAGAGTGGCCTTTTCAGGACTTTCTCACTGCTAGGACCCCGAGATCCTGAGGCATAGACAACAGACCAGGCTTTCAAGGGCTAGAGCCAAGGCTGGCAGGCTGGCAGCTTGCCTGGGCCTGGCATGGTCTCATCTGGTTGCTGTAGGCCCACCCTGTTATTTAATTTTGTGTCCCTTTGTAGGGGGTTGTGGATGTACTGTGTCAAGCCCTAAGTGGGGAGTGTAGCTGATCTGGGCCCAGGCTCTGAAGGCCACACTGAAAACAGGGCTTACCTAAAATTGATATGTTGAGGGCACAACTTGACTGCATATGAAGATGCCTGCAGATGCCTCCACAGCCTGCTCTATCCCTACCATACTCATACTTAGGGGCTTGCAGGTGAAGCCTGTCTGGATGCTTCCAACCCCAGCATATGTGAAGTTTACAGCAACCCTGAGTCATGGTCCTGTAGGCTCTCCAGCAGATGAGAGAGAGGAATGAGATAAATGACTCTCTGCTTCCAGATCTAAGGTATCAAAGACATAACATCTTTGTGGTGTGGGATGGCATGTTTCCTGTTGCAGCAGTTGGTGTTTTCTCTCTTCTGGGGGTGATAGGAGCTCCTGTCACCAAATCTGGGTTGTCCAAGAGTGGAACATTTTTGGAGGAACTCTTGGCTGATCATCGTCTTTTACATGGTGTGAGGTGATATGCATTCTTGAACTGAGTCTACAGTGTGTGGTTTTACTCAAATGGATGCTAGACTAGAGGACATTTTGTAACTCCTGGAATGGCATGGCAAGCTGACTGTGGTACATGTTGCATGGTCTTGGCCGTGTGAGGTAAGACGTGTGACTATGGCTAAGCTGACTGCCTCTAGAAAATCTTGATTGTGTAAAGAAAGAATACAATGGAAAAAAAGACACACAGATGCTGCCTTCCACTTTGGTCTCTGATTTTGAAGGAAAAACAGAGAAAAGAATATGATGAGATGCTGGCTTGCTGTTACTTAGAGCTAGCAGGGGCTAAAGAAAAGACAGTACAGATTAGATCTCTGCTAAAGAGATCTGAAAACTTAGAACCCATGAAGAAAATAAGACAGTGAAAGGGGAAAGATTCATAGCCTGGAGGCAAAGTGCACGAAGGAGGATAGGATCAGTGGCACAAAGTGGAAAATTGAGAAACTGAACTATTCATCCTTCCTTGAGACAAAGGTTGCATTTATCCGAGGTGATACATGGAAAACCATTCCATCAATATCTAGCTCCCTCCAAGAGGGAATGTTTTAAATTCAAAGGAAATAGCCACACGGTAAGGGAGTGAGAAACAAATTAGACCTGTGCTAAACAGCCTTTCCTGGGATAAAAGCAGAATAGACTTGCACATTAGGGATTCTTGGTTATTACTGACTGAGGTCTACATATATGTCAGACAGGACTCAAAGACAATTTAAAGTCCTTGCTGAAGAAACTAAACACATGAGAAATATCGTTTAATGCCCAATTCATTGAAGTGGTAAGAGTGAGTTTATTGAAATGTTAAGAAGGGGGTTGACTCAACAGGGATTAACTCAGGTATTAGGCTTCCGTGACTTTGCTGAGCTCCATTATGGCATACGATCTTTAAGAGTTAGGCGAGACTCTGGTAGACCTGAATGATTCAGAAAAATGAGTAAGTATGGTTTGTGAGGTGCTAAAACATTTGGGAGGATATTAAAAAGGGGGGAGCAGAAAGTGGGAATTGTACAAGTCACTAAAAAAATATGGCAAAATTTGTGTTAAGCTAAAGTTTCCAGAGAAAACATTCACAAAAAGCCAAATTCTGTGCTTGTGAATTTTGAAGGCTAGAAAATAATGAAAGCTTCTGGCATTCTCTTGAAATATTCTGACCTTCTGCATGCTCCACAAACTGGTGAGGTCTGTTCCTGATTTGACATCTATACATGATGGATGCATAATGGGCAAATATGTACATCTATCTGTACCATATGGGGTTGTCAGGTGGACTTCATAAAAGTCTATGCCTCTCAGTGAGGAATGTAAGTGTGTTCTCGCCTCTGTGAATGCTGTCATGGACCTTCTATATAAGAATGCAGTGGGAAAGGCCACCAGTAAGGGTTTCACCCAACACAGTGTTTTATATATAGGCACTCATAGAGAATTGGCAATAAGAGGGGCAATAATTTTACAAACATTGTTAGGAAGAAAGTGACTGAGAACAGCCAGAGTCAATGATACTTTCACCTACCTTACAACCTTGATAGAAGGTTGATAGAAGAAAACAATGAGTCATTAAGAGGAGTCACAGAGTTTAGACATGGAAGGCACATGGAACTCCCAAAATCTAGAGTTCATTGAATGAAAGTCCCAGTGCTGGGGTGGGCTACCTCTTTATTAATCATTAATGAGAGATGCCCTTGAGAAGCCATAAACCACAAAGGCTAACATCACTGATGTTAGTTCCATGCCAGAGCTAGATGGCAAATTCCTACTGCTAATGACTCCATAAACTTTGGCTGCATGACAGAGAAAGGAGGCTAGGACTGAGGTAGAAGCTGTCTACCTTCTGGCTAGCCTTTGCAGTGCTGGAAGATGTTATATAGGTCAGCAGTTGTTCTTGACTATGGACTCTGAGTGCTACACTAACCAACTTGCCATCTAAGATCTGCCTACTGGTGCAATAGTGGCATGACAGTTATGGGTGCAACCTACTTCTTTCCTGTTGGATTTAAGCTCTGCTCTATAGTAGGAGATTCATGTTTGGTATCAGAAGTCAGGGAAATGACTCATGGCTGGGGAGCTCATAGGCTCCAGTAGAGAAGCAACTGCTATTGTTTGTTAAATGGATGCCACAAACTTGTAAAACCGGATAGCAAGCATTTGCATTTATGTCTACAGACAACTATTACTATCAACCTCACTTATGGAGGGAAGTTTCACTACACAGTGAGCAGTAGTGGTTACTGGGGAGATCCATACTTGGTCAAGCTGCTGTGGAAAGTAGCCCAAGAAAGTAGGTAAACACTTGCATCACTTTCTCCAGGGTTCAGTGAACACCATGGAGGAAGGGGCAGAAAGAATGTAAGAGCTGTACGGAGGAGGAAGTGTTGTGCAGCTCTTTCTTCTGAACTGAAACAGATAAGCATGTGTCCCTTTTCTGCAGACAGTGCAGACCTCTCCTCCCCAAACAGGTATATTTCTTCATCACAGGCACCCAGTGCTGGACTTGCTTGTCATTCTTACCCAGTTGTGACTTACCACTTATGTCCAGCCTTTTGCTGGCATTGAGCTTGGTCCGTGAGGCCACATGTTCCACCACGCATGTGTAGGTGTCAAGTGAAGAGTTTAGAGTGACTGGTATTCTCAAGACACTCCAGGTCTGGAACGTGTTGCCCCCAGGCTCTCGGGTGGGTTGGGCAGTGGCAAAGTACGAAGTGTTTATTTTACTCTGGAACCTCAGCCATATTAGATTGATGTCTTGGGGGAAGAAGCCGGAAACCTCACACATGAGCCACGATGACATCTCAGGATAGGTGGATGTGGCCAGAAAGTTCACAGAAGGGTAACTGGGTGCCTCTGCAAGGAGAAGTGGTAAGAGGTGTATTATCTTGTCACACTTGACCTGGAAGTATCTAGAAACTTTTGAGAGGATGGAGACACCCTCTTTTCTTATCTGACGACAGCGATGGCCTGAGCACTGTTGGAGGAAGGAGAACATATGGGTAGGAGGGGCATTGGACAACCTTAAGGTGGGGTGGGGAGAGTTTTCACCTGGGTCACAAAGTTGCCTCTGCTTGGGACCCAAGGGCTTGGTAAGTAAAGGCCTATGCTGAAGACATTGCCTTCTCCTGGTCCCTTTTCTAGTTCAGTGTCTAGGAACACCCAGTGCCTCCCGAATAGACCCAGGCTTTGTTTCTTTGGTGCCTTGTCTACTCTCCATGGCCAACATTTTGTGTTTTGAAGGCAAGACAAATCCTAGGCTTTCTATCTTGCAACCTGGTGATCTCTCTCTCTCTCTCTCTCTCTCTCTCTCTCTGTGTGTGTGTGTGTGTGTGTGTGCTGTGGTGGTGGGCATTGCCAGTGAATTTGTGGATGGGGGTGAAACATTCCTTCTCCTGTACTTATGAGATACATGTGCTCAGGCTACAGTCACCCTGGAGCTGTGGAGACTGCTCTGGCCTGTCCCACAGAGCCCTTAGATCCTCCCTTAGCCTGAAAGGTGAGGGAACCTGTCTTTCAGTTCTGGAAGTGGCACTGGCTTTGGAGGTCCTAAGAGAGCCCTTCTTTCCATTAATATGCCTTTCATGCTTTCTGTGTGGATCTTCTAGTTCTTGTTCTAGCAGAGACCCAGTAGGCCCTGTTGGATGTTCCTAGAGTTCACAAGTTTCTCATTGTTCAAGAACATTCTTCTAAAACTTAGACCTGTATTTTCAGGTTCACACAGCTAATAAACCACTAAGCTACAAATCTGCAGAAGTCCAGGGTCAATTACAACACAAGGCCTCTTTCCTCCTCTTTCTGCCTTTCCCTTCTTAGCTCTTCTTTCAGCTTATTTATAGTTGGAGACAGGACTTTCCCCATATTCACACAGCAAATGACAGGATTTCTTTCTTCAGTAGAAGAGAGTCTCAAATATTTCTTTTATCCACCCACTGATGGGCCCTTGAGTTGATTGCACTACACTGAACAGAGGAGTAAGGGCAACTGCTGAAACCTGTCTTTTGAGCTTACATTCAGAAGCAGAATTTCTGGATTGCACAGTAGCTTTAGCTTTACACTTTGAAGGTCATGTGACTTGGGGCAGCACCCTCCCCCCCCCCTGAAGTTCATCAGACATTCTTACATGTGTCAGGTGACAGCTCGCTTTAGTTTTGACTTGAGTTTATCTGATAACTAGTGACATTGAACATTTTTGATAGATAATCTTTTAAGATATTTTCTCATTTTAAACTTGTATGTATGATTTGTAAATATTTTTGTAAATCTACATGTTGTCTTTTGACTTTGTTACATGGGGACCTGGGCTTATTCTCAGTACACGGCAGGCTGACCACCTACATAGGAATTCAGGCTGGGGAGAATCACAAACCTTGAGTTTCTACAAACAGAACTTCTAGTTAGGCCATTTTTCTTGAGGTGGCAGATGAATAAGGGTGAGACTTAGGGCTAGCCCAGTCAGGAATTGATACAGTGAGACAGTAGAGTTAGGAGGAGATGAGGGAAGCCTGTGGGGCTAAGAAAATCCTGGAGTCTAGGTGTGATGGTCCCCTGGCCCGCTAATGGGATTCTTAGGTATCTCAGAGAAGTTCTGTTGTCTGTCTGGTCATATGCCTTCAGAGTCCATGAGAAGCTCACAGTTTGGTTCAGATACACAGAGCTCAGGTCTATGGGCAGGTAGACCCTTGTACTGGTCCTTCATCTGTTTAGCATTAGCTCATCTTTTGCTCAAAAAGGGATGATGCATTCACAGGGTTAGGTGGTGGCATCTGTTGGTACCTGCTGGGGCCTGGATTGCAGCAGGCACACAAGCCATTTTAGTCACCCTTTCTACCTAGGATGTACATTGACAGCTCAGAGTAGGGGTCATGGAGAGTTTCCCTGAGGAGGAGGTGTAAGATTGAACAGATGAGTTGGGATGAAGTGCACTGGACTTCTTACCCACTGTGTCCCTTCGGGTGTTAGTAGCTTTGGTGACTTCCACTGGGGGAGGTAAAGTAGTTTTCTGAGAGGATTGAGCAATCCATTTTCCTGGAATCAAAGAAATGATGGACAAAAAGTAAAAGTGAGAAAACAGGGTTTCCTGAGGTACCCAGGGGAGTGGTAAGCAGCAAAAGGGGAGGCCGCAGGATGGAAGGGTACTAGTGTGGAGAGCTCTGTGCTCAGCCATTGCCTTTGCTCGCCCAGCTGCCTCCTTGCACTTTTAGTACAGAGTCCCCAGGGAGGAGAGGGATGGGGGAAGAGTAAAGAAAGGGAGGGACCAAGGGAGGTGCTCCTTGAGCACAGGTGGGGGTCTTGCTTCAATTAGTCTTTGAGCATAGCTGTGGGAAGCCCCATAAGATCTTTCTGCATGGTTTAGGGATACTCACTAGGCAATTGAAAAGTCTTTTCAATAGTAAGTATGGAGTTGTTTTTTATGTGGCAAGTGTGGGTGCTGTTGAGTTCTGAGGTCCACAAAGAGAGCTGGCTACTCATCGTGTACTCTTTATCCTTCTTTTCGAGGGGAAAGGTCCTCTTAGTCTTGTACTTCGCTGTTGAGTCCCAGCTGATTTCCAGTGGATGGTTTCCAATCACCAAGCAGGCCAGGCTCACCGACTGGTTTTTCTTTGAGAATTCACACTCTGAGATGAGGAGGAACACTTGAGGGTTCGTGGGAGAATCTGTGAGACAGACAGGGGAGTACTGAGGACATGGGACTGGAAACAATGGTGACACCTGGGCAGTATCACTCCATGCCATATTCATAAAAATGACTCATTCCCAGGTAGGCTGGGAAGAAGGGCTTTGAAGCCCTCTGGCCAGTCTCAGGAGTGTCCATCTCTCTGCCGCCATCATCTCTTTCTTGAACCTTCCTCAGCTTTCTTGGGAAGAGACCTACCCCCTGCTCTTCCAAACACCAGTGGCCCTATCCCTCCTGGATATAATTCTCCCATGACCTTGACAGGAACAACTAGCCTTCTACATCCTCAGAACCTCTCAAGTAGCCTAGAGCACCTGAGCAGAGCATGCTTTGGGTTTCTCTGGGCTACTCTTCCTTCTCAGGTTCTGGTATGTCATATATTTTCAGTGTCCCACTCCCCATATTCCAGAGACTGTGGAGGATACATAGGGGCAGACTATGTGGGGTAAATTGTGCCCTCTAGCAGATTTCCTAGCTGAAATTCTAAGCCTGGAATTCCAACATCCACTGTGGGGATGTCAGGGCTCATCACCAAATTCCAGATCTATTTGAGGCATTGTCACCTCAGCATCCTGCCTCTCATACCAGCATCTGTGTTAGTTTCCTTGGGCTGCTGGGGGAACGTGCCACACGTAGACTCTTGAGCAACAGAGTTCTGTTCTTTCCCAGTTGTAGAGGCCAGGAGTCTGGGCTACAGCAAGCTGGGAACCTCTGTGCCACAGAGCGTCTGCCAGAGACTTCTAGCTCTGAAGTCATGGCCTTTGGCCAACCCTTGTCTCTTGGCACCAACACCCCAGTCACTGTCTCACTTTCCTGCTTCTTTCTCCATGTATATGCCTGTGCACCTACTGCCATGTTTCAAGAACGCCATTCTGCTGGGTTTGATGATCCAGCATGAGCTCCTGTCAACTAGATCACTCACTATGATCTCAGAGCTAGAAGTCTGTGATAAGCTCTCCCTGTGGCACAGAGGATCCCAGCTTACTGTAGCCCAGACTCCTGGCCTCTAGAACTGGGAAAGAACAGAATTCTGTTGCTCAAGCTTCTACGTGTGGCACGTTCCCCCAGCAGCCCAAGGAAACTAACACAGATGCTGGTATGAGAGGCAGGATGCTGAGGTGACAATGCCTCAAATAGATCTGGAATTTGGTGATGAGCCCTGACATTTCTACAGTGGCTTCTCAATAGCTTGCTGTTCTCTGTGCCCTGCAGCTACCCACGTGAATCCCAGCTCAGGGACCATCACCAAGGTGCTATCCCAGACTCATTTAATGTCTCTTTAGGAGCTTGTCATCTACATAGTTTTCTCCCAGGACCTGCTGTTCTCTCTCCGGCTATGCTCCCAGGCCTTCCTCTTCCTGCAGTTAGCCTGGACTTCCTATGTCTGTGGGCTTCACCAGCTGTTCACACCATGAGCAAGGAAGTACCCTGCACTGCCCTCATCTTGTATTTGCAGGTCTTTCCTCTCTGAGCTGAGGCCCATGACCCACACCTCTCTTCTTTCTACTCTTGTTCTGTGGCCAGGCCTTTATCTGTCTTTCTTGAGTGACTGCAGGGCCTTTATCCTGTTTCTTCATATCTTTCCAGCAGTTTTCATAAACAGAGAGTTTGAGTTTCTGAGTTATTGACTGATCTCCAGGGCCTGGCGCATTGCAGGAGAGGTACACACATCCTGTTTATCTCAGTCAACTCCCATAAGGTACACCCAACATACCACAAACTTTTGGGATAAGACCCAAAGTATCGTGATAGCTGGGAGCAGCACCAGTGCAATGTGGTGGGCTGGGCTCCAGAGCACAGACCCAAACCGGAGGCTAGTTTCCAGATTCCGAACACTTTGGGGGAGATCAGGCGTGGGATTTTCTCTGCCCTGCTTCCTTTCTTCCATCAGAGTGTATAAGACAGAGTGCTACCATTGCTGTCAGAGCTCACTCTCTTTCTCTCTTTCCCTCCCTCCTTCCCCTTTTCCACCTCTCCTTTCCCTCTTTCTCCCTGAAGTCCCACCAGACCATTCCATTGCCAGTTCTCGAACTCCCTTCAGACAATCCTTGCCATGTCAACACTTCAGGACATGTTTGAAAATAAAACAATAAACTGAGTTCACAAGATAAAGTATTTATTTCCAACAACATCTGTAGTCAGTACAGCCATATGTGGTCCAGACCCTGCTTCAGGGTACACAGGTTGACAAAGTCCTTGGCCCAGAAGTCCACCTCAGAGCTCCAAGCCGGAGGGTGATACAAGAAAGATAGGAATAAGTTTACTAGTCCTACAGGCAGTCCCACCCCAGGCCCAGAGGTAATGCCCTTGTGGGAGGGTTTCTTGGTCTCTGATGTCCTTCCGCGCTGTGAGTCACTTCACCTGCAGGTGACAGAGACAGTGTAAATTGCTGTCCATTTTTAGGGAGCAGAGGTATGGGCAATGAGAACTGGTGGCTCCCTGCCCTGTGTACTCAGCCCTACAACCACACTACCTTGAACAGCGTGACAGTGGTGCTGTAGAAGAGACTCAGGAGAAATAGGACGATGAAGGTGGAGGCGGTGGTCCATAGGTTCTCAAAGCCTTCCTCCTCAGCATTCACCTCCCCCTCTGTGAAGGGACACACAGAGGGAGGGTCAAGCCAAGCCTTGGGGTGGTTGAACAACTCCCTGAGGTTTGGAGAGTCTTAGCCAGTTTTGACTGGTTCCCCTAACAGTTCAAGCTAGACAGAGGCACAGCATAGGTCAAAGTGAAGGAGGCACCAACTTGGGGCCTTATACTGGGAGCACTGGGGCAGCAGAGGCAAGCAAGACAGGCACAGCACATGGACATGGGATGAAGGCAGAGTCAGGAACCCTGGCATAATGGCATTGGTGTGCTCTGAACTTCCTCTGAGTGGGTGGCAATGTCAGGACTGCTTAGACTGAAAATTTAGTGTAGGGTTCTGTCTCCAGGCTTTGGGAAGAAGAGCATGGGGCACCTGAGGCTGTCCTTCCTTACTTCCTGAAAGACTCAGCATCTCATGTTCCTCTTTGAGCAGAGTTTCTGTGGGTGGCTTGTCCTACTCCTACTAGCAATGCTAGGTCTTGGTACCAAGAGACGGACAGACAGTGAGGGAGACAGTGGGACCAGGGCATTTATTGGGGTCTCTGACCCCTGTAAAGATGAGTCAGTGGGAATAGCTAAAGCCCAGGCCCCAAATTATTAAGAACATGAAGAATTTCCAGGATGCTGGCCCAACGAGACAGTGTTATTGGGTCCTTACAGGGACTCCAATGACCCATGCTGATGGGATTCAGCTTCTTCTGGACAATTGCGGTATGTCTTCTGCATTATGGACTGGGGCCAGGGTATTTGTGAGTGGGATAGGCACTCTCCCATTGATCTCCTGAGGTGTTCTACTAATGGAGGCACAGTCAAGGGCAACTTTCTGCCCTTTGGGTGGATTTGAACACCACGTGCTCTCTCTGGCCACAGAGTCTTGTATCTGTCATAGGTGGTCAGAAGGTTGTCCTATGGTGCTGGGACAGGAAGGCATGTTCTTTGCTTGGAGCTATCTCCCCTAAGCATAGACTGAGTTCCCCGAGAAGCTTCAGTGACCCAGCCTAGTGTGGGCTCTCTGGGCCCTGAGCCCTGGAGATTATGGCCTTGGTCAGAGTCCAGGTGTACTTGTGTGCCGTGCCTGTGCAGTTGTTAGTATGGACATTTAGTTAGCTAGATGCTTCTGTACATGCCTGTGCATCCATGTCTTTGTGCCTACGTGGTTCAGTTGTTTATATTTGTCTATATTTTGTTTCGGTGTATACATGTCCGTGTGTGTGGGTATCTGTTTCTGTGTGAGGCTCTGTGTCTATGTCCATTTGTATGTTTCTGAAGGTATTTGTATGTGTCCATGCAAGTATGTGTGCATGTGCTCATGTGCATGCATGTGTTCCTGAGTGTGAGGGTGGATCTGTGTATACTTTTATGAGTGAATACATATTTGTGCATGTGTCCACACATGTGTGCCTATATCTGTGTGCAAATGTATGTCTCTGTGTGTGTGTCTGTACATGTGCCTGAACTCAACAGGGTAGCAAATCTTCCAGCCATATATCTAGAAATAGCTGGAGGGATGGCATGCTTATACTCTGTCTATTGTAAGTCCTTTTGAGTTCACACAGAAGGAGGCAACTGCCAAGGTAGAGGAAGGGTCAAGGTGGAGGAAAGTCTGCAGGGTGTGCGTAGGGCAAATACAACACAACATAGCTGTTGCCTCAGCAGGCAAAAGCATTGCATAATCAAAACCAGTGACTTTTGAATGGATTTTTTTTTATTTCTAATTTTTATAAAATGCAGCATCTTACTCTGACATGGTTAGTTCGCAAACACAGAGCAACTAGACCCCCAGAGCCTGCCTGGTAAGGGGCTAGTGTGGTCAGTAGCAGGTGCTGCCTGTGTCAGACATGATCAGGGATACATTGTACAGTGTGGGTTTACCAGTGGACTTGTCCACGGTCCTCTCGGTCACCATGTGTGGCAGGGCCTCGTGGCCTACAACACAGGTGTAGGTTTCCCCGGAGTTCCATTCCTCCTCTGTCACGGTCAGGATGCTGTGGGTGAAGTAACGGTCTGGGGCCTGTGGTTCTGGCATTGGGGCACTGGTCACATACTTGTCTGGGGACAAGGGTTGACCCCTCTGAAGCCACTGCACAAAGATGTCTGCAGGAGAGAAGCCTTTCACTAGGCAGGTGACTGTGGCTGACTCTCTCAGGATCAGTTGCTCGCGGGCTGGTGGCAGCAGGTACACAGCAGGTGGGTGCTTGGCCGCCTCTGTAAGCAGAGACAGTGGTGAGGATAAGGGTGGAAGGGGACCTGCCATCTCCATGAGATAGAGGAAGGGCACTGGTACTAGAAGGGAAGGAAAGGGGAAATACCTACCACTGGGCTTTGAGATAACTTTCTTCTGTGGTGAAGGCAGGTCCCTGTGGGTCACGGTACACACGAACTCTTTCCTGCTAT